TGAGCATCAGGAACCGTAGGTGCAATCTCAACATCTATATCAGGTTTTGGGATGGGAGGGTCGATGTGTGCCCGCTGACCCATTGGTGAGGAAAACCCATGAGGGATGGGATCAACTAACACCCGACGTACAACCACGTCCAAACATTGCAGCTGGCTTTTCATAGCCGATCTCACATAGTTCTCCCACTAATCCACATATCCAATTGGGATCATTCGCCTGAGGATGTTAGGAGGAGAACCTATGTGCAGTACACCCTCAACTTCAATGCCATCATCATCATCTCCAAGATAATGCAGCTCCTCCCGAGCCCTTACAACCATCTCACTAAATGAAGGCCTATCATTGAATAGCACAGGCATGCTTTGTATGTCAACAAACTCAACATATCCATAGCGATCGCATTCAACGGTGCCTCCATGATATTTGGTCACTAGGTTGTCCATCTAGTTCAAACACATAACGAAACACATGTCCTTGAATCCAAATTAGACGATAGATAGTACCTAACAAGTACTTTCTAACTACAAACTAAGTAAATAAGATAATAAGTACATATATATATAGTGTACTCACAATATAGATATGTCTATGTACCTATGTATTTATGTTTCTATCTATCTACATATCTAACTATATCTATGTACCTATGTATCTATATTTCTATCTATCTACATATCTATCTCACTAGATCACTAACTAAATCAACTACCTGAGTCATCATATTAACTAGTAAATAACAAATAATCGAACTACTACATTACAATCAAAGCTAACTAAGCACCTACATTGCATATTCATAATTTTTACCTAGCGCGGCCGCGGCCGCGGCCACGGGCGGGGACGGTAGAGAGAAAGAGAGAGAAAGAGAGAAAGGAACCTCGAGCCCATACATAAGAGAGCTTGGCACCGGGATTGTTGGCGCCGAGCTCGGCGCCAAGATCCACGGTGTTGAGCTGGCTTCCATGTCAGCGTCCATGGCGTCAACGTGGTCCTGAGCTCGGCGCTAGAAACAATGGCAGGAGCAGGACTGCAGCTACATCATCCCACACTGCTGTCGACCGACGAGAGCGAGGGAACGCGCTACCTCCACAAGCTGCTCCACCCTGCTGCCGCGCGAAAAGACCGCTGACGACTGCGCTATGTGCCAACTTAGATGACGATGGTCGTTGTCGGTGTGACACTGTGACCTGCACGTCCTGGTCATTGACGTCGAGATGCTCGTGAAGGAGGAAGAGGAACTTGGACGAGTCCAGGTTTGTGCCGTAGCCGATGATGCAATTGACCGGGAACCCAACAACTTCCAAGCGACGTAGGTCATGATATGATGTCCACATGGTTCGACCGTTGGAGACGATGAGCAGGATGGCGTCCGGCGAGTGCTCCGCCAGCGTGGGCACGATCTTTCATCTCTGAACATAAGTAGCGACGTCCGACGTGGGTGGTTGTGGGCCTTGCGGGTATAAGCGGGATTTTGCGGCCACCATTGGTAACCCAACGGGCTTAGCAGGTCAACCTGCCCCAAACCGCAGTAACTAAGCAGGCTGCCTGCATTGTCCAATACGTCTTTCTTGCGGGGCGGGCAAAGCGGGCTTGCGGGCAAGCCCGCGCCGCTTGCATCCTGACCTTCAGCTCCCGGTCCGGGGGCTCGTTCGGTGGCCAAAAGGCGTAAGCGGACGAACGGAGATCGGACGGCTGCCGTCCGATGCTACGCGTGTACGGTGTGTGTCCGGGTCGAGATGCGGCTGCTGCGGCGCGGACGCACGGTGTTGTCTAGACTGCGGAGTGTTGACCCGTCACAGGATGGACCCACGCCTGATAATGGTCGACGCATGACGCCGTGGCCCACTGGCAGTCGGCGCGGGGGATGCACTCGCGCCACTGTTGGTGGGGCTGCAGAACAACTACATGGGGTCGGGTGGGACGGGCTTGGGTTGTATCTGCGAAAGGGCCGGAGCCTTGTACGCTCGTGGGCCATAGAAATTTTAGCGCAACTATATAGCTTAAGCTTTCTTCTTTATATATACCTTAGGCTTATGACCTATTTGCTACAGCTTAGCTTGAATTGGATTTTTTAACTTTGGCTGCAGTGGCTATCTATGATGAGATTGTTCTACTTTGGAAGAAATTTAGTGCGATAACTATTAGTCATTGCAGTAGATCATGTAATTCAGTAGCCCATGAATTAACTAGGTAAGCTTTATTACAAAAGAGTTCTTAGGTTTGGGTAGATGATCCCCCTTCATCTATTTTCTAACTTCTTGTAAACGATGTAACAGTCTTCGTGAATCAATAAAGTTTGCCAAAAGTTTCAAAAAAAAAGCTTTGGCTAGAAAAGCAGCTCTATCGATGAAGCTGAATTTGTTTTATGGACCATTTGACAAAACAACTTTACTTGTTTGTTAGAACAAGTAAAATACCCATAATACCCTTTATTTTTTCTTTTATCCATTTTTTCTTCCCTTTATTTTCTTCTCTCTCCACCTAATCTCTTCTTACGGCGCGTGATAATCATCCTCTTCCCCGGCTGCTCTACGCAGCGACCCACGCGATCCGTCCCCAACCACCTCGGCCTCTGCTCCCACCCCGCCCGTGCCACCTCGGCCTCCGTGCCGGCCCCGCGGCCAACCACTCCACACCCCCACGGATGGATCCTGCATTGGCCTGGGGAAAATCTGCCCACGCCACGTTGGGACCCACCTCCGTCGAAAGAAGCTGGTTGAACCTGTTTTTTCCAGCTTCACCATCTACTTTTTGCATGTGAAAGCGCATATTCCGAAGATTGTGAGGTAAAGATGTTTCCCAGAAACCATTTGGTAGAGATGTGGAAAAATAGCTTTGTGAAGCTATGCCAAAATCTCTACCAAATAGACCCTTGCTTTCCTTGAAGAGAGAGAAAGGAAAGGCACCACACGGGAGACGCTCATATGCACCGACCGGTCAGGACTGTGGATTGTGCTGACCAGTTATAGACTCTTGTCTTTTTGGCCTATCAATCCATGTCTGCCATGTGAATAATCAAAGACGCATCATGGAACATCTTGTTTGTATCACATGAACATGCCAGAATACACAATGGAACATTTTATATATAGTGTGAATTACATCTGAACGGCCTGGCCCTCTGGCTTTACTGGATAGGGCTTATACAGAGATTCTGCTTTTTTTTTGCCTAGAAAAAACATTCTCAGTCTGAAACCGCCCGAAACATTAATTTTCTTTGTTTTTTACATTGTAAAATTGCGGGCGGCCCAGTCCGAAATGCGAGGCCCGAACCTGCCCACTAGACGTACGGCTCTGTCGCAGGCGAGCACCGGGAGAGGAGGCGGGCTAGCTGCCTACGAAATTCCTCAAAAAAAAAAAAGGCTGCCTACGAAATGGCGTTTGGGCCAGGAGGAGTTAACTGGGTTAGGACCACCACAAGTAAATAGTAGACGAAAGTGGGCTGGCAGTGCATTATATTGGACCAGAAAGAAAACGTACGTTCTCCAAACAAAAATTACAGACGTCCATTTGGTACGTACCCCTAACTCGGCTAACTTGGAAACTAGCACACCATAACTGTTGGGTCGATTATTGTTCAACCCAATAATAGCATAAATAAAACCAACTTAAATAAAACAAGAAAACTACGCAAGCTCTATCGCGCATCCGGTCGCACTCCTGGGCGGCGAGCGCGTGACTCGTTGCTCCCGCGGGTAAGCCCGTCACTAGGCAAGCGTGGGCTGTGCGACTGTACCAGGCCCACTTGCGAAGGTCCCACATGTTACGCATACTCTCTCTCCATTCTTTTCTACATGTACTTTATCAAGCCAGGTTTTTATTATACTTGCTTTTAGTCTTACACAGCGTGGGGTGCACTGGGTAGTTGGCCGGCCACACGCAAAACCGTTTAGAGCATGGTTAGTAACAGAGCTAAGTAAGTGTTTGACTAAAAGTTCAGTTATAAGAGTCAAGTTATACGATGGTTATCTTCTATTTATCTAATTTTTTTATTATTGTGTGGTACCATGTCTTACATTATCTTTTCTATTCCTTCTCATGTACAGTTCTATCTGGTCCTACCAGCAAGGCGTATGCTTCATGCTGATTTTCTACAACCATTTCTTAATAAAAGCAAGAGAGATGGGCCTTCTGGACCTCGCCAATTCCCCTCCAATGCAATTCCAATTTTCCTACAATCCAATATCACGATGACACCTTAATCATCGTGAAAGGAGACGCCAGGCAGTTGTCCCCCTCTTATGGCCGCAGTTGGCAAACAACGATCGACATGGAAGAAAAAGCCAAAAACAAAAGCTACTGAAGCATCTCACTCACAGTCACGGACGGTGATTGGTGGTGTGCACGAGCACGACGTACGTACATACTGACGCTGGGAATAGTTGATTGAAACCGATGGATCGGAGAAGGCAACAAGCTAGCAAGCCAATTCAGGAATGCATGAACATGATGAATAATGTAGGGCATGCATGCATGTGATGATGTGAAATCGATGTGATGGTGCATTGTGGGAGACGTGGAGAGCCCATTAGCCCATGCTGTATCCATCCAACTTTTTTCCGCGATGCAGGCATTGTTGCTGTCTAGTACACTCGACTACCTGCTGCCGTCACTCAGTTGCATGCATGCATGCATGGTCACCGACGGATCATATCTGCCACTCTGCCAGTGTGTGACCCAGGAGGACGACGGTGAAATACATACAGCAATACGCCAATACTCCAGTAATAATAAGTTTATGTTCCGTGGAGTAATAATAAGTGATCAAATCCACACGACTACACACCAGAAGTAACAGCTAGATTAATGGTAGATACGTACGGTGAATCTCATCTCATGCAGACCCGTACGTACTTATTACTCTACGGTAGCCAATTATACATTAATCTACGGTAGCCAATCCATACTCCAAACTGCTCTGGCTTGCTTAGTACTAGTATTAGCTTGCTTGCTTGCTCTGCAGATCCCAATGCATGCAAGGCCGGCCGGCCGGACTACTAGACCTCTCCGTCGTTGTCGCCCTTCTGTTCGCCCAGCTCCAGGCGGCGAGGAGAGCAGCAGAGGAGGACGCCGGCGAGCAGGTCCACCGCGACGTAAATGGAGCTGAGCACGACGTCGACGAAGATGTACGTGTCCCCAGCATCGGCGGCGGGGAAGATGTGGTCGTAGGCGACCTCCATGCAGTGGATGCCCGCCGTGGCCGTCAGCGCCACCCAGGCCAGGGCGTCGACGGCGCCCCAGCGCTTGCGGCTCGTGGTGGTCGCTGTCGTCGTCAGCAGCATGTGCAGCGGCGCCGCCAGCGCAGCAGCCGCGCTGCACAACAGCACCCCGTACAGCAGGAGGCTCACCTCCGCGGCCGCCGCGTCGGTCAGCGTCACGCACCGGAACAGCCATGTCGACTGCGCCACGGTGCAATTTTGCATGCATGTATGAGGAGAGGAGGGCATGCACGAATTTTTTTTTATGCATGAATGATGAATGAATCGCGCGAGCACGTATACGCACGCATCGTGAACGGTGAACCGGGCAGAACCTACGCAGTACTAGTACGTACCTTGGTGCAGGGGGTGCGGTTGACGATGAGTGTGGCGACGTCGGCGATGGCGAAGACGACGGCGTTGATGAGGGCCCACAGGCAGACCACGAATAGGATCGGGACAGCGACAGCAGGTGGAGTCGTCGTCGTCGTCGTCTTGTTGTTGTTGTCCGCCGGCATGACGGCCGGCGGCGGCGAGATAGACAACGAAGAAGCAGGCTTCACGTCCACGTCCACGAGCACGGCCATCAGCTTGATGACCTTGTCGTCGTCAACCGGGGCAGCAGGGACAGGCACGACTGGCAGCGGAGGCGTCACCTTCTCCTTGTCCTTGGACACCGGCGGCGGCAGCGAAGCAGCAGCTGCAGCAGCAACCTGGTTGTCGGCCATGGTCACCGTACCTTGTTGTCGTTCACCTGCAGCCGGGCGGACACGTTCAAAGGGATGGGGCAGAACGGAATGAACATGCACGGCCGGAAGCGGGAGCACGATGATGGACATGGACTCACCGGTGGCTAGCTGCGGGAGGATCGCCGGCCGGCCGGATCGACTGCTTGGAATGGAATGGATCGCCGGATCGTCGACTGCTGCAGGATACGATCGACGACGATGACCTGCTGAGATGCCGATGATGAGATCTCGAGTGCAGTTGGAGGCGCCAGGGTTCGAGAACTAGGATGGCCCTATATATAAAGGGAGGGAGATGTGGGCGGCCTGCGCGTACGCGTGAGCGTGTGAACCCTACCCACCCATGCATCCACGGGCGGAGCTACAGTGAAGTTAGTGGGTGCGGCCGCACCCAATTTTTTTTTTTTTTTGAAAAACAGTGATAACACTCAAATTTCAACAATATATGCACCAACATATTGCAAACCCCCACACCCACGTAGGCAAACGCACCCCATCAAATTTGCTCTAGCTCCGCCACTGCATGCATCCATAGCCTACTACCCACCAAGCTACCTGTTGCTGCTTCAAGTTGAAGCAATGTGGCTGCTATGGTAAGCCTTACACTGCTCGACACGCGTATGCGTCGGTGCGACAAACGCCATCTATGTGATCCATCACTTTCCCTAGCTATATGCCCTGTTCGCATGGCTGATAAGTTATGACTGAAAGTACTGTTGACTGATTTGTTGCGAGAGAAAAATAATGTTCGTTGACTGAAAAAGTATGGCTTATAAACCAAGCGAACATGGGCGATACTTCCTCTCTAGGCCTAGCTGCTAGCTCTTCATTCACTTTTGTTGTGACCTTTTTCATCTTTTTTTTCTATCCATTCACTTCAACTAATTTGCAGAAGAAAAGCAAAAAATTACGTGGTGCGCGTATTTACCTCTTTGCATGTCTTGTAATTTGGTGTTTATATATGAAAAATACAATATGTATTAATCTAATCAATATTCAGCCTATCAATGGTTTAATTTCCTCGAACAAATTATAACTAGAGTAGGTAGGAACTAGCACATTCCAACTTATTAGTTATTACTATCTACCATAGATGTTACCAGGCATTTTGCCAACTACTCCAGTAGAAACATGCATCCATGTGCCGTGCAATAATACATACGACGAATGCTCTGTGCCCATCTGTCACTGCCTCCTCTTCCTGCGGAAACCAACAAGCTGCAATGTAAACCTTTTTCGTTGCACGGGAAGGGAAATCTATTGATCCAATGCACAAAGGCTGCAGCAGGTTGATGTGCATCAATCCATCACACTTTTTTTTGAAAGATCATCACACATTCATGTGAATGTATCAACTAGCTATGCATGCTTCGCATCCTGTACCATGCATAATATATTAGCTAGATGATGCATTCACACCTAGCTAGCTATGCACACAATGGCACACGGTGCTATGGTAGGCCTTACAATGCTCGACACCGCGTACGCGTCGGTGCGCCGAACGCCATCTATACGATCCATCACTTCCCCTGGCTATACTTCCTTTCTAGGCCAGTCGCTTCTCTCTTTAATTTATGAAAAAGGCTATATATCTGTCACCAGATTTTTCTTGTTTTTTATCTGTCAAATTCATTCATTTTGTTTGAAAATTTGTACTGTCCTCTAGGCGGACTGTCTAGCTATCAGCTGTCAGATTTGTTCTGTCAAAATCTGTCAGATTTTGACCAATAAAAAGATGACAACCCAGAAAAAAGACTGACTTTGTACTGCTAGGTTCAAAATTTTGAACTATCACATTATAATTTTGTACTACTAGGTTTAAAACTTTACACTCAGGATTTATAAACTTTCAACTATGACATTACAAACTTGGTACTACTAGGTTCAAAACTTTGAACTATCACATTATAAACATTGCACTGTTAGATTCAAAAACTTTACACTCAGGATTTGTAAACTTTCAACTATGACATTATAATCTTTGTACTTCTATGTACATAACTTTGTATTGCAAGGTTCAAAACTCAAACGCAAAATTCAATAGATACAAAGCCAACCAAACCGTCGACAGATTTATATGTGTATTATTTGTCAGATTTTCCTTTGGTGATCTGTCTTCTTTTTTGATTGGCCAAAAATCTAACAAATTTGTTGTTGTCAAATCTGTCAACATATGTATAGAGTCACCCTTAATTTATTTGCCAATAATCCAGAAACCACATATCTCAAGTGCATTCCTGACTCTCAATAATGCAAGTCCCGCTCAATCCCTTATTACTTTGCATTAGTACTATTAATTAGGAAAAAAAATTCCTGCAGCGCTTCTGTAATCCGCATCTGCTGTATACGGAGTCTCAGCATGCATTCGACACGTCGACACCTAACGCATGAGACGGCAGACGCACGCGAGGACCAGGAAACCGCCTCCTCCTGTACCACGCTCGCGCGGCTTGGCTTCCTCATCAGGCTCATATATCCCTCGGGTTCTTCACCAGTCCTAACTCCTACGGGCTCGGCTTAGGCTCATATGATTCCTTGGTGTCCAAGCCTCGCACCCTGATGCTACCGTATGCAATGGATGGAATCGATCTACCGATGCGCTGCAGGGATTTTTTTCCCCATTATTAAGTACTGCTGCCTAGCTTCTAGCTCTTCATTCCATCACTATTCATGCAGATCAGAGCAAAGCAAAAAGTACGTACGTACGTATTTACGCTTTTGTTGTGATAGCATATATATTTACCTTTTTTCACCTTTTTTTCTCTCCATTCACTTCAATTAATTTGCAGAAGAAAAGCAAAAATTACGTGGTGCGCGTATTTACCTCTTTGCATGTCTTGTAATTTGGTGTTTATATATATGAATACAATATATATATTAATCTAATCAACATTCAACCTATCAATGGTTTAATTTCCTCGAACAAATTATAACTGGAGTATAGGCAGGAACTAGCACATTCCAACTTATTACTATTTACCATGCATTTTGCCAACTAGTAGTAACATGCATCCATGTGCCGTGCAATACATACATCGCATGCTCTGTGCCCATCCATCTCCATCTCTCACTGCCTCCTCTCTCCCTGTGGAAACCAACAAGCTTCAATGCAAACCTTTTCCGTTGCACGGAAAGGGAAATCTACCGATCCAGTGTACACAGGCTGCAGCTGGTTGATGTGCTTCGATCCATCATACATATTTTTTTTAAAAAAAAAATCACCACACATCCATATGAATGCATCAAGGCCTTGTTTAGATTGCAAAATTTTGCAATCTGGACACTGTAGCACGTTTTGTTTGTATTTGACAAACTTAACTAGGCTTAAAAGATTCGTCTCGTGATTTATAACCAAACTATGTAATTAGTTACTTTTTTACCTACATTTAATGCTCCATGCATGCGTCCAAAAATTGATGTGATGGAGAGAGAATGAAAAAACTTGGAACTTTGAGGCAATCTAAACAAAGCCCAACTAGCTATACATGCTTATCGAGATGCGCATCCTGTACCATACATAGCTAGCTAGGTGATGCATTCACACCTAGCTAGCTATGCACACCCTTCACACGCATGCATTCACACCTAGCTAGCTATGCATTTTGGATGGCTATCAGCCTGTTCGGGAGGACGTATCGTATCGTGGATTATTTACTGCTGACTGGTTTGGTGTGAGAGAAAAACATTATTCCCTGCTAGAAATTTACGATCGTTTACGAGCAAGCGAACATACTGTATCTACCTAGCAAAGGCAGCGCGTTCCCCCTCAGGGCTTGCCCAACGCACCACTGAGCGAGATGTGGCCATGAGGTATCATACATGTATGGCTAGGTAGTAGTCACATTTTTTTCTTTGCAAACGTGGAGTTCACTTTAGTCTAGGCTAATACCCCTATATGTCTCGGTTGTGCGTGCCCTCACAACCGATGAAAGGGATGACTCAATGTGAGGTCAAAAAGTTTATGACATAGGTCTCGTTCGCTTCGCTGAAAAAATAAGTTGAAGTACTGTTCTGGTTGATTTGTTGTGAAAGAAAAACACTGTTCCGGTTGAAAAAAATAAGATAAAAAATACGGATTATAAGAGAAGGGAACAGGGCCACAGTGGTGTCAAGTTTGGCATTGCTTATCCTAGCCGCCCGTGGAGATGTGGCGGTGGTAGCGGCGCCCTTTGCTGCATCGCTCGTGATGGGTTGGAGCGGCGCTGTTGGGCCGGGCTTTGTGTATCTGCCGCGTACTCCCACTTAAGATATGTGGGCTCTCATGCGGGTGACCCGCGCGGTTTGCAAGTATATCCAGAGGATCCACTAAAAAAAAGTATATCCAGAGGATCGCTGGGAGCCTGGGACCGAAAAGATGAATCAGACAAGAGAGCGTCTTCTACCGCTTCACTCGATCTCTCTGGTGCTCACGACGGCGAGGCCTCTCCCACGAGCGCCGTGCGTGGCTGAACTCGTAGCCTATCAGAGGAAAGCAAGCCACGGCACATCCAGATCAGCAGGCCAGCTAGCTTTATTTTCTCTTGGATGCACGCACAACAAACCGTGCGAGGGCCATGAGAGCGACGACGTGTTTCTTCTCCCGCGGCCCGCCGTCGGGTTCCTCACTCGGCTGGCGCTCGCATGATTCTGGCATAAAGAAAGCTAACAAGCGTACGTTACAGGTTCTTCTGTCGCGGTGCCACCGTCCACCGTCACCCCGTGCGTGATCAGGCTCTCTCTCTCTCTTCATGCTTGGCACTGCCAATTCTGCTACACATCATTTCGCATCTGCCCAGATGACCCCAAGCTCTCCAGACCCATAAATACGTGCTTTGTCACCAGGATCGATCAGCAGGCAGTAGTATGACAGACTTTTTTTTTTCGAGCAGTAGTATGACAGACTGACAGCGAGGTATCTGTAACAATCCATCGATCGAGAGATGATGCCGAGGCAGGGCGCCGACAAGAAGCCCCTGAGTAGCACAATCCTCCGGTGCGCGTTCGTCGGGGGCGACGAGCGCGGCGGCTTCACGGGCGAGCAGCTCAGGTACCCCTGCAAGCTGAGGCGGCACATCTGCGCCAGGTGCGGGATGCACCGCGGCGAGCACGGCGCGGGTATCAGGGATGAGCACCTGCCGCCGCGCAAGCGGTCAGTGTTCAGGAGGCTGGGAGAGTCCCAGCTGCTGGACCTCGGCGGCGGCAACGACGACGACAAGAGGGAAGGGCTGGCTTGGACTCCCGGCGACGTGATCGCCAAGGGGAAGCGGGGGGCCAGGAGAAGACGCGCGGTGTGGTGTGAGCTTTGAAGTTTGAATAAGCGTGGTATGGTAGGAAGCCAAGAGTCTAATCGGCGATGCCATTGTGTTTGTGCACTGTCCACTGTTCTTGTGGGTGGCGTTTTCTTGTTGTGTGGTTTGTAGACCCGATTTCCACCTAGAAAGCTGGCCGAAATTTTTGTTTTTTCTTCTAATAATCAAATTTATTTTGCTAGTTGTGTCAATCAGCGGCGTGGAAATTTGTTTAGTACTCTGTACATTACCTAAAAAATAGAAAAAAATAGTTCGATGGTACTCTTTCCTTAAGGCCAGGTTTGGATGACAGAAATGTTTTGGATTCTCATGTAAATCACCAGGATCGGTGCCAAACACTCAAATAGGTGACAGAAGCGTTTCGGATTCTTAGAGAAATGTTTCTCGTTTTTTACTAGGAATTAGAATCACCCAAATAGGTGTTTTGGAGTGATTCTAGTTCATTTCAAGGAGAATTTAGATCAATAGTCAAACGTTTCACCGTTTTTACCAAGTGATTTTCTATTTCAACAGAGAAATATTTTTGGAGAGAATCTGAATCTGAAACGTTCTTATAGATCGCTACCAAATGGGCCCAAATACTTTGACTCCTAACCAGAAAGCAAACACATGAAGTTTTCTATATCTTCGGATAAAAAAAATCTAACGAGGAGCATGCAGCTTCATGACTCTCATGTCGGCTCTTCTCTCATCCTCGGTGGCTCCCCACCATGCCAAGCTCTCCACTTGGGACATCCTCGTTTCACCCTTTTCCCATCTCAGATGGCTCCTTGCCGCCACGGCGCCACCTCCGGCTAACGTGCTAACCTATTTTGTCATGAGGCGACCCACCTTTATCTTACGCCACCCCCTTCCCCACTGTAATGCACTCTAAGTTGTAATATTCAAACTACACAAAGAGAGGAATTTATGAGGACAGAAAAGAGACCTACAATATCTTACTATACCTCCATCTTGCAAAGAGTGTTATTTTAGTTTTGTGCTAAATCAATAATTTCAAATTTAAACAAATAATACTAATATTTATGTAGATTCATCATGAGGCATACTTTTAAATTATATCTATTTTGTATTATAAATGTTATACTTCCTTATATAAACTTAATATAGCTAGACCTAGGAAGACTAGGATGAAACTAAAATGACACCTTTTGTGGCATGGAAAAGATAGTATTAATCCACCCTACACTACAGTTATGTCTGGACCACAGAAAAGTATATTATATTACTTTTGAGAAGGAAAAGAAAGATATGCTCACAGTTCACACTATATATGCATTTTTGGTTGTACGGATTCATTGTAACATTTGAATCGCAAAAAAAGAAAGAAAGAAATTCATTGTAGCATTTCTTAGAGGGCAAACATTTGAGTGTATTTTTTTACCCTATGACTTTGTTTTTATTTTGAACATGGGTGGGAGCCTTCAAGGTTACAAGAAATTGAGCGACATGCTATTTGCTAAGCATCCCAGCTGGAAATCTGGAATGTTAATTATTCACTACAAAAAAATGTACGAAAATGCTTAATTCCACAAGCACAGGATTTAACTCTCGGCATGCAAATAGAAAAAGGCAAAACAATAATGGACAGAGAGAAAGAAAGAAAGAAATTAAAGAACTCACCTTTTGGTGCTGCCAGAGACAACAAAGTTCGGTGTTATGTTTCGAAGGTTAGGGTTCAGGGTTTTCCTCGCGGGAAGGAGGGTGTCCATGGCTTCTAGGCTTAGAAGGGGTCGTTAGGGAGAACGCAGGACCAACATCGGTGGTAGAAGAGATGCAGGGCAGGGCGACGGGGCATTCGCCTCCTGGTATGGTGGGAGATGGCGATTGAACGGTGCAAGTGGCAGGGGAATCAGCCAGAGAAGGAGGATTCAACTTGGGTTTAGCGATGGCGGTGGCGCCGCCTTAGCCGAGCAATATGGGGCGGGGGCCTTGGATTTTGGGAGGGCCACGGGGAGGGCGGCTGTAGCGGGGTAGGTGAAGACAGTGGGGGGAGGGGGCGTGGATGAGAAAGGAGATGAGGTATAGAGAGACAAGGGAGTGAGCAGTCGTGTGTCGGTGTCTAGGTGGGGATTCACAGGCATGCTCTAGGTTTTTTAATAGCAAAACAGGCGTGCTCTAGTAAGACCAAAAAATGTACTCCGTACATCTCTATTTTTTTAGCAGAATAGACCTTTATTATTCTTCATAAGAAGTACAGACGCCATCAGGCGGAGATACAAACCAAACATGTCTCCCTAAATCAGCATAAATACAACTCCTAGCAAGTTATGAGCATCCACATTTGATCGCCTCCCCTCATGGACGAACTCGACAAATCTAAAATCATTCGATCTAGCTCTAATTTCCTAGACAATGTGCCCATAAGAGCCCATACTACCTTCACGTATGCTTGCAACAACTCCCGTATTGTCACATGCCACTCTGAAGTCTTGAAGTAGCAAATCGCTAGCAAGAGAAAGGCCTTCTTTACATGATATCGCCTCCACCATCTCTGGCTCCAAGCTTCCTTCCATCAGTACCGCCAAGGCCCCCAAGAAGCGTCCAGCAAAGTCACGTGCAACAGCTGCAGCAACGACAGTTCCTAAGTTCTTAGCCAAGGCTACATCAACGTTAATCTTCATTAGCCCCGCTGGGGGAGGAATCCAGCGAGTATTGCTTCTCTGAACAGCGGGTTGATCCTTCACTTTTGATTGCACCAATTGGAGAAGATTGGTTTGAGGTACTACTACTTGTGAAGTATGGGCCTTTTGATGTCCACGAGGAAAGTCCAGTTCGTGCAGCTTCGGTAATGGGTCTCAACAGGCTTTATCGAACTATTTGGGCCATGTGTGCTTAGCAGGAGGGCGTCGGCGTGTCTTTCTCAAGTTTTGCTTCCTTGCGACCCTGACGCAGGAGCCGTGGATGCGTTACCTGCCTTCACAGCTTCGATCACGTATTCACATCACCTCTAACAATGTGCTCCCTGCTATGCTATGTGAACCAACCAACATTCGATAGATTCCCACCGCCCACCGGGATCAGCCGGCCCCGTAGTAGTGCGCCATGGCAGGCAGGAAGGGATTGGATTCTTGGAAGAAAACGAATTAACCAAGTCGTGAATGGAGCTGAGGAAATTTCCAGGAAAGCATCGTCGCATCGACCGTGCGTCATTAGCCGTACGTAGCACGGCCAAGACGTGTTGGCAATGGCGGCATGGCCGTCTTGTGTTCTCAAATCTCCAACAGTTCTCGATGAATGCCATGCCGAGCGAGTACTACAAACATTTTTGCTTGCCCTCGTATCTTATCTAAAAAGAACAAATCCTTTTTGCCGTCATCAACTACCCTGGAGGAGATCTTCCGAGACGGCTACAACGCTGCGGATCTTCTTTCAGTACCGCCATCTCCAAACTCTTTGAGGACTTCGTCGACGACCCCTCCTGATCCCCACTCCGCGCTGATCAAGAAGGCCGGACGCTCTTCGGCAGCGCCAGCACCTCATCCATCACCACGGAGGTATGCGCCGCCATGGAGACGGATTTGGAGGGGTCCGCTGCCTCCGCCACGAGTCACGCCGGAGACGAGGCTTGGGGATTTCATCCTCCTGGTCTTGAAGCTCGCTGCGAGGAAGGGCCACGCCGGCGATCCGTTTTTCACCACGCGCAATGGGGAGACGACCAGACTTCGTCGACGACCCTCCCGATCCCCACTCCACGCCGATCAAGAAGGCGGACGCTCTTGGCGGCGCCAAACCTCATCCATCACCACGGAGGTATGCGCCGCCATGGAGACAGATTTGAGGGTCCACGCCCTCCGCCCCGCGAGTCACGCCGAGACGAGGCTTGGGGATTTCATCCTCCGGTCTTGAAGCTCGCTTGCGAGGAAGGGCCACGCCGGCGATCCGTTTTCTTCGAGATTTCAAATTTTGAACCAACACCGACCGGCCTCGTCGGGCAAGGTGGGGTTCGACCGATTCACATCCGACCGAAGCGCTCAACTAGTCTGCGCTGGTCGCACCACCCACCCGCACACGCTTCCAAGACGCCGCCGAACCGGTCATCACCATCCGCTCGATACGACAACGATTGGGCGAGGAAGCATCGGTGGTCCGACGAAGAAACTCATTAACCCTAATCACATTGCGTCGCCGCCGCCCATCCTATCGGGAGGTGCTAATGGCGGGCGGCGAATTCGGCAAGAGGTGGAGCCAGCCGGCCACACACCGCGGCGCCCCTTCTGATCGTGGACGTGATTGTGGCCGAGGCCCCCACGCCAACTCCCAAGTTCGCGACCGCGACGATCAAGGCCGATACCATGGGCGCGGGGGTCGCGGCGCTCCACCACCTGCTGGAGGATGCACCCAAAGAAGTCAAGGCGCCGAGGGCCGAGGCCGTGGAGGATTCCCAAGCCGCCAAACAATGGGCGATCATGGGCGATGTCTCTACTACCATCGGCGCGCCGGTGGCCGCAGCGTGGTCGGGAGGATGCCGACGGGGACCGCCAAGCAAGACAACGATGGCCGTCCTAGCGCCGTCAACACCTTAACGGTGGAACCTGGGGTGGTTGTCGATGAACAAGGCAACAACAAGAGGAAGCGAAAGGAACCGGCTGAGAAACGGGAGTGCTCCATCTGCATCAAGAACATTACACAAATCGGTGTCCGCTACTTGTGGCCCCAAACCGACGGTCGCCATCGCCATGCATGCCATGGAGGATGGGATGGGTTTTTTCCAAATACAGAAAGAAGAAGAAACAATCAGATTGTGGACACTTTTTAGGCGCCGATCCACAGCCCTCATTACAAAGGAATCGGTGATGTCCTGCTCACTTGGTACAAGCCGAATCGCTAGGATTATTCCAAAGGCGTTGGGATTGGGAGGCGCAACAATTTGGGGCAAAATCTTTTGTTGTCCCATTTCCAAGCAAGGAAGAGCTAGATCGTATGATAGCTATCGGGACACTTACAACAAGGAACAAAGAAGGCACTATCGCATTTGCTTGAGTTCGTTGATGATG